CTTTTTTTTTTTTTTTTTTTTTTTTACAAAAAAAGCACTGCAGAGAAGAGTAGCAAAAATGATCGAGTGGCTGGAGTAACTCCCTTGTGAGGAGCAGCTGCAACACGTGGGATTGTTTAGCTTAGAAAAATGGCAAGGGGGGTGGGATATGATAGAGATGTTTAAAATAAGGCATTGTGTGGAGAAAGTGGAGAGGGAGCAAAATCTCTTGAATCTGGTGTCATCCCATAAAACTGATTGGTAGGAAGTTTACAACAGGTAAAAGGAAGTACTTCTTCACACGATGTATGGTTAAACTATGGAAATTGCTAACATGGGAAGTGCTGGCGGCCATGAATTTGGATGGATTGAACGGGAGGTCTGGACAGATTCGTGAGGGAGGAGGCCATGAGTGGCCACTAGCCTTACTGGCTTTGTGCAACCTCCTTTGCCCGGCTTGCCTGCACCAGTTGCTGAGGAGCCTGGGCGGGCATTCTCACGCTCATTCTGCCTGAGGGATCCTGTGGGCAGCTGTTTTGCCACTGTGTGGCAAATGCTGGACTAGATGGACCTTTGGTACAATCCAGCACAGCTTATCTGACATCATACATCCTTTCTCCTGTGTTGGAGAATGATGCACCACTCTGCATATTCTTACTGTCGGTACCTGTGCACTTCCTCCATAATAGTTATTTCCTGAAGACGCATCTCCACCTAGACCAAATGCGTAGTTCTCTGTTGAGGGAAGAGAGAGTCTCTTGCAACCCCCTCATGATGGTTAAGTCTATCAATAGGTAATAGTCATTATAATATATATTACTTCTAGTATTGGAGTCCTCTTAATTGCAGTTGCTGGGGAATACAAGCAGGAGGGTGCTTGTATTCATATCCTGCTTGTAGGCTTCCCATAGAAATCTGACTAGCCACTCAGAAGAGTGCTATACTAGACAGGCCTTTGGTCTGATCCAGCATTGCTTTTCTTGCAGCAGGAAATGCACCCTCTTGATGACCGGGTTCCCCAGTCAGAAAACGGGTGGGCTGTCTTCAGTTTTTAAGTCTCATCTGTTCTGAACATGTGTTATGGTTGTTGGAAATGTGCTGTAGCTGTAGACATGTGTTCTGGCAGCTCTTTCTCTCCCCACAACACATGACAAGCAACAATCCTCTGTTCACTGTAGACAATCTCATCATCTTATGCAATCCTAGCACTTCCAAAGCATTTTTTCTTCCTCTGAAGTCTTTGCCCCCAACATGCTACTGAGTAGAATTCAACAATATTCTGTGTTGAAGTTTAGAGGAAGGCCACCAAAGAAATTGGAGTTCCACACCATTTCTCTTGCTATCAAAAGTGTTCTGACTTAGTGACTTCACATTTGAACAAGAAAATTTACTAGTAATGGTGATTGCAGGATAAATACTGCCTGGTTGTTGGGGACTTATCCCCTGCTGCTTCAAGGTAAAGCAAAATATGACAGTTCCTCAATTTTCAACATTTGTCAACAATGACAAATACATTTGAGTAATCTTTGCTCTTTGTGCCATTCCTCAGTCCTCTAACTTAGTGACACCTCTGAATTCCCATGGATTACATATTTTCCCTCCTTCCCTCTTTTTCTCTGCATGAAGGTGAAACCTCTCATCTGGATTGAGTCCGTCATTGAGAAATTCTCTCACAGCCGAGTGGAGATCATGGTTAAGGTGAATCGCTTTCAGAGATGCCTCCATTCCTATCTATGGCCCGGCCTGCATAACAAAAAACCAAAAAACAGAGGATCCTTGACTATTTGTTCATGTAGATTTTGTTTATAATTGGTGATTGCTCCGAATGGACAAGAGTCTGCACTTGATCTAAAAGTGAACCATCTGCAACAATCTTGGGGGGGGGGGGAAGAGCACCTTTCCAGCAAGCAACAAGGAGGAGGGCTAAAACAGTCCCGAGCTCCAGGCAGCCTTGCTCTGAAAGCTCAGGCTGCTCACATGACTGCTTTAGCTCTTTCTCTTGTGGCCAAAACTTAAGCTGGAAAAGGGAAAACATGAATGGTTGTAGGTCTCTCTTTCTGACTTTGTTTTGCTCATGGAAAGGCAAAGGGCCAGTTCAAGAAGCAATCAGTGGCCAATGGTGTGGAGATATGTGTGCCAGTCCCAAGTGATGCCGATTCACCTAAGTTCAAAACCAGCATTGGGAGTGCAAAATACCTGCCTGAGAAGAACATTGTCATCTGGAATATCAAGTCTTTCCCGGTGAGATGGATGACTCTTTCCTTTTTCACACTCCCAAAACCTAGATTTTGTTGATCCATACTGCATTCTACTTGATGAACATTTTGCCAGGGAGCTCAGTAAGATGTGGATTGAAATTCACAGCTCTTTGGCTGCATTTGGGGTGGTGCAAGAGGGGTTCTTCTAGCATGTGGCCTCCAGCTCCTCAAAATCTACTG